TATATATAGTTAATGACAGTAAAAAAGGGAAATGACTTAATAAGAAATCTAATGTGAAATAATTGAATAATAAGATAATAATATATATATATATACACACACAAATATTATAATTGATTAATATTTGAATGTATTTAATTTATATTTTATATCATTTTAATAAAAAAATAAAATAATTTTAATTTTAATATATTATAATTGAAATATAACGAAGAGCTTTGTTGACTTAGAATTTTAAGCATTTTAACTTATGCATTGGCTTGTATATATCCCGGTTAGAGTAAGAATTTTATATTTTATTATTTATTCATTATATATTTGAAGAAAATTTGAGGGAAAACTTAATTTTATTGAATTAGTTTATTTTAATATGGAGTTGTTAAATAAGATTAGAATTCGATCGACGTTATAACATTTTAAAATATAACATATAGATTATAATTCGATCGATGTTATAACATTTTAAAATATAACATTTCATTTTAACAGTAATATGGAGTTGTTTATATATATTTTATATTTTCATACTAATCAATTATTTCATGTTTGAGTCCTTAGAAGGTCATTTATTACTGTTAACTATATTATAAATTATATAGATTATGTTCTGTACACTAGAAAAGTTTAGTGGTCCAGCTTAGTAGTTAGGACACTTAGTTTTTCGGCTCATGTCTTAGGTTCAAATCCCACCAGCAACAGTTATTGATTTAATTTATTTTCTAATAATTCAATTGGTGACACATGACACCATTTGATTGGATGGAAATTTTATTAAATAAAAAATATTAAAAAATTCAATCAGACAATGACACATGTACCATCGAATTGAGGATTAAATTTATTGAATTAAAAAAAGTTAGGATCAAATTAATAGAATGTGAAAGTAATGATAACTAAATGTGTAATTATACAAATTTATTAACTGTCATGTCATCTCATTCGTTAATATTTAACGGCAGGTGGTTTGATTGACAAAATTTAAATAGTTAGGTGACTCGATTAACAAAAATGAAAAATTGGTGGTTAAAATAAAGGGGTAAATAGTTAGGTGGTTAATGATATAATTTATCCTAAAAACTAATATTATATAAATATTATATTTTAATTAAATTACATTTAGAATTTTAACTAATTTATAATTATACGTTTAATACTTTATAATTTAATATTGTGTTTATTTGTACTCATCCGGCGTGCTTTCTATAGAATTAGAATAAACGTGCGACTCATATTTAATTTTCTTACCCGTTCTTTTATGTTTGTTTTTTTTTTGTGAAGTTAATAATGAATTTTTTTTTTATTTTCTTCCATAATAGATTTAGTTGGACTTTGATTTTTTAATTATTTTTTTACAAATAGAATAATATTATTAACAGAATTTGAATATTAAATCGTTTATTCGAAATTAAAAAAATCTTAAATTGTTCTATCTTAATAGTTTAAAATATGAATTGTATCATATTTAAATGGATGATACGTGAATATCAACTATTTTTTCTTCGATAATGCAGAAATAACACAACACTAGCACATATAGACTTGGTCTCGATTAACTAACGCAGCCACCTCTGAAGGAGGAACATGGTGGAGGACCACCCCTATCGGACAACCTCTAGCCATCGCGGCAAGCTGATCAGCAACCGTGTTAACCTCTCGACAAACGTGGCTAATCTTCGTTTTCCAATCTCTGTTTAACAACTCAAGGATCAAGGTGACAAACACGCTACCCTCAACAACATTAGATAGCTGGTTGACAATTTCCACCGCTGTTAGATAGTCTGTTTCCAGCTCAACCTTTCTGAAACCAAACCCCCAGACATATAACAATATATCATGAATAGCCCATAGTTCTGCAGTCAAAACCGAACAAACTCCTAAGTTTCGAGCAAAATCAAACAGCCATTTACCATAACCATCACTCAGCACTGCCCCGGAACCAGCCTTACGAGTCGAACTTCCTACTGCATGCACCATCGGCATTAGCCTTTACCCAACCCATATCAGGCCCCTTCCATCTTACTATATTTCGAGTAGGAACTCAATTCGTAGTATGGTCATTTGCATGTGTTATAATCTCATTCTTCAACCTCAAACTTTGCACTATAATATCCTCCCGATCGATATAGTCAGCTTGAAACACCACATTACATCGACGCTTTCATATTTTCCAGCAGATAATAACTAATAACATATCCCAATCCCTACCATTAATCGCGAAGTCATTTTTTGTAGAAGTCATTTTTTGTGAGGTATCATTAAAAACTCTTGTATTTTATCATCGTGAATCCGTCGACGTCAGACACCAAAAACGAATGGACAACGACGGAGCACATGGGTTATAGTTTCATCATCATTATGACAGATTATAAACTACTTATTATAATTTAATGAGTTGATTATAAACTATGTGAGGTGAATTTTAATGAGTTAATTATAATTTAAACTAAAAAATAATTACAATTATTTATTATTATGTGAGCCATAAAAATTAATGTTATAATAGAATATAAATAATATATATATATATATATATATATAAGAATTATCATTTTAATTATGAAAGGTTGTAATTTATTCTTGGATAAACTATTTATTTGATCACTTATTTATTTTCGTGTTTTTACTTTGGTCATTCAACTATTTTTTTAAAATTATATTTAATGCTATGTTTTATTTTTGTTCTAGTTGTCTGTTGTCATGTTTGAATGTTGGCTTAATAGAAATAGAGATGTGACATGATATAATAATAGTTTAATCTCCAAAGCTTACACATTTTATCGAACTGATATTAACTCGAAACACTTCAATAAATCTTCGATATTTAAAATTCTATCAATTTGACAATATAAAATCTCAAAATTCCTCTTCCAAATCCCAATATTCCCCCGACAATCATTCCCCAATGTCATCGTCGCCCATTTACTCCGTCATCGCCTCTCCACGCCAGGGATCACATGGAGTGTATTGAAATGTCTTGATAGTAAATAATTGGGGTAAAATCATTGTCTGCTTTATATGTTTTCAGATTGTGGTGCTCATGTTATATTTTGTATCCATATTCACATAATCACATTCTCAAATTAAATTATCATAGTTTATGAAGCTTAATCTTCATGTCATCATGTGTAATTTCATTCACATATCATATGATGTGAAAAGGAAACAGAATCTTCGACTGGCAGATTTATTTATAAAGGAAGAAAGAACAAAAAGAAGCATCTTGAATTTGGCCTGGCGGTTCATCTTGAAACTCTGGTGATACCAGATGAATTAGACCATTGATGAGTGTTAGAACTCAAATCTAATTTTACTACTTATGCTGGCAAGGCATGGATAATTCTAGAATATTCTTGATTAATGAAGCATGATCTTGAATTACTTAAGAACTAAGCATGGAAAATAAACATGTGACAATTGATGATGGAAGGGAATTTCATTAAGACAAGGAACTCCATGTGACAATACAATAAGAATTTGAAAATGCCTAGATCTTTCATTAAGGAGGTTAGTTACCCTTATAAATGTCTTTAGCCTTAATATAAATGTATGCAAAGTGAATGAGAAGGAAAATGAGAAAAGGTTTAGAAAAGCCAGAATAAGAAATAGCTTAGCAAAGCTATTAGAGAATGAAAAAGCTTAACAAAGCAAGGACGAAAAATAACTTAGAAAAGCTATGAGAGAAAAGGTGAAGCTTAATCAAGCTTGAATAGCGAGGTTGTGTTTGTAAACTAGCCGCAGCTAGTGTTATAGTGTTGTGGTATTATAATATTGGGGTAACGTCGTTGTAATATATTTTACCTCGTATCAATAATAGTTCATGTTATAAATTATTCGAGTGCCCATCTACGCTTCCAAAAAGTGGCATCAGAGTTTGGTTCGAGTTTAACGTGGTGGAGAAGATGGCCAACATGATTCAGCCACAAATTCCGAGATTGACAAAGACGAATTATGGCAATTGGAGTATTCAAATGAAGGCGTTATTAGGCTCCCAAGATTGTTGGGATATCATCGAGGATGGTTACACCGAGCCTGAAAATACAGCAGCAGAAGCAGCCCTGACTAATGAAGAAAATAAGACATTGAAGGAATCACAGGAAAAAGATAAAAGAGCGTTGTTCTTTATTTTTCAAGGAGTAGACGAATCTACCTTTGAAAAAATTTATGATGCGAAGAATGCAAAACAAGCATGGGAGATTTTGCAAAAATCTCTAGAAGGTGTCGAAAAAGCAAAGAAGAATAAATAGCCGCAGCAGCGTGCACTTGCCAAGAATCCAGTCTCCCATAGCCGAAGCAAGCATATCGATACAAAGTATCACTTTATACAAGAGCAGGTGAAGAATAAAATTGTGGAGCTAATTTACTGCAGAACTGAAGATCAACTAGCAGCCATTTTCACAAAGCCGTTGAAAGCAGTTATATTCAACCGACTCAAAGAAAAGCTCGGAATGAAAAATCAGATTTGAGGGGGAGTGTTAGAACTCAAATCTAATTTTACTACTTATGCTGGCAAGACATGAATAATTCTAGAAGATTCTTGATTAATGAAGCATGATCTTGAATTACTTAAGAACTAAGCATGTAAAATAAACATGTGACAATTGATGATGGAAGGAAATTTCATTAAGACAAGGAACTCCATATGGCAATACAAGAAGAATTTGGAAATGCCTAGATCTTTTATTAAGGAGGTTAATTACCCTTATAAATGTCTTTGGCATTAATATAAATGTATGCAAAGTGAATGAGAAGGAATATGAGAAAAAGCTTAGAAAAGCCAGAATGAGAAATAGCTTAACAAAGCTATTAGAGAATGAAAAAGCTTAGCAAAGCAAGGACGAGAAATAGCTTAGAAAAACTATGAGAGAAAAGATGAAGCTTAATAAAGCTTGAATAGCGAGGTTGTGTTTGTAAACTAGCCGCAGCTAGTGTTATAACGATGTGGTATTGTAATATTGGGGTAACATCGTTGTAACGCATTTTACCTCGTATCAATAATAGTTCATGTTATAAATTACTCGAGTGTCCATCTACGCTTCCAACAATAAACCTGCATTGAGCCATGTGTAAGCGAAGTAGGAAGCAGCAAGCAAGAGCGGTAGGAAGAACTTGACAAGGGTTGCATATTTAGGCATGTGATCATCCTTGATCACAAAAGCACTCATCTCATTCCTCTTGGTTTCTTCAATTGAAACATCTGAATCCCCTTTGAAGGTGTAACCCTGTACAACGCCAACCTGGTACTTGAGGAGCAACTTCTGAGCCGATTTGCTGTGTCCGATATCATTGAATACCTTGGTGGCGTCCTTCCCTGCACACTCCATCAACACCTCTTCTCCTCCTGGATGTTCTTCCAGGAACTTTGTCAGGTTCAGTACCTACAGGAGTTAATCAAGTTCAGACCCATCCCATAACAGAGATAGAGAGAGAGAAGGGTTACTCTGCCATCGATGACAAGCCAGCAATCTTTCTTTGATTTGTGTTGAGCAACCTGTGAGAGGCTGAAGACTGTATATTCAGCCATTTTGTTTGGTCTAGTGAAAATGGATGAAACGAGCGCCCATGGTTATGTACATTTGGCCTGGATATCCCAATTTATATTAGATGGATGGGGTGAAAACCAGGGAGAACCACCCGCCAACCAACCTCGGTGAAGAAAAAAGATAAGTTACGAACGTGCAGAGATTTGCGCCTTGTAGCTGGTGGTTGGTTAATTGACTTCTTTGACTGGTGGAGGAGAATCAACGGAGATGTGGCGTTGATAATATATTATCATAATCAGTTACAATAGATATCAAATTCAGCTTTTATTTACTTTTCCCTGGACCTGGTGTCCAGTGGGCACCAAATTATTTCTAAGAGACAAAATATTCACGTACCTACGAGTTTAAACTTTTGACTTATTGTTGATGCAATTCTCAAGTCAGACGAATACTTTGTCTATTGTTTACATATATAACAGATATCAAAATAAAGTTTATTTATTATCAATAATCTCTAAAGTATGTGATTAAATAAATCGTTAGTATTCTTAGAGGTCATATGTTCGAGCACCAGCAACTGCAAAGATTATTGGACGTTCATTGTCAAATAGTTAAAAATATTTATAACATATATTACTTTGTAACCACCTTAGTGTAAAAAAAAGAATATGTGATTAAAAACTCTCCATTGAGAATATCTCTTTCCTAAGTTATAAGTTCAATATCCATTAGAATTAAAATTTTATTTTCCTTTATTTAAGTAGGAATTATTAACAAATAAACAAAAACCAAAATAGATTTCAAAAATTCAGTAAGATAATCGAATTAAAAAATAATAATCAACTCAAGAATCAAGTAAAAAATTACAATCACAATATGATTCACGTGTATTGTATAAACTTATTACAAAATCAATTATTCATTTTTGATCAACACCCAAATACAACTTTACAAAACTAAATAAATTCAAGGTCGAAAAACATTTGAATATAGTTATGAAATCATAAGAAGATAGATTCATGATTGTTATGCATGTAAATACTAGTTTAGATACAAAATTAGACATATTTAACTCATTTTTTTATTAATAACTACACGAATATACGGTCAATCAGCCCATACAACAATAATTAAAAGGTCCATCTCACACACCTCAATTGGCACCAAGGGCCCAAATTCACACACCATCAGGCATCAGCGCTAAACCAAGTAAATAACAAGGGCTGGCCACAACCCGAAACTATTAAACCATAAACTGAAATACGATAAATTTCTCACCAAAGGTTTTATCTAATCAAGAAGTTTTATTGTATAATAAATCAAGCTTCTACAAGATAACAAAGACACAAAGCATCATAAACAAGTAAAGAAGAAAGAAAACCACACAGCATTTTCACAAAATACAACGAAGGCTTCACTTTGAAGGTAAACGTTTTCACAAATACATGTAAAAGTTCCGTGCCTTTGCATAATAGCTTACCTTCCACTTATTTTAGACCAACAGAAATTCATCTTCATTGGAAAAACCCCAAAACAACTTGAAGCAGGAGATTGAATGATCAAGGCACAATCTTGTAAGCCTTCACCTTATCAATCCAAGTAACAAACGAATTCCTGGAATTCCTAAATCCCAAAAACCCATGTTCCTTACTCTTATTCATACTCATTAAAGGCATCTCCATCGATAATATCAAATCCACAAACCACCACAGCCCCACCTCCTGCAAATTCGTCCTCTGCAACTGGTTTTCCTTCACTATTTCTTCCCACACACTTTCCTTACCTTTCATCATCTCCTGCAACCCCCGATTCTCTCCTTCCACGAAACCAAATTGTTCTATCCCGAATTGCTCAGCAAAAACCGTCCACAAATGTTTCCACTTAAAAACATCCCCGTTAGACACATTAAAGGCTTCGTTTTTCGCGTAAGGATCCACCGCCGCCCATATCTGTTGCTCCGCAATCAAATCCGCGTCCGATGCTTCCGAGTAATAGTTCCAAGCCGCTTTGCTTCCAGGAAACAGCAACGGTCTGCCTTCGTGTTTACAAATGGCGGCGTAAACGCAAAGAGTTCCAACGAGGTTCATTAAACTATAAGGCGAAAACCCGAATATGTTAGTGGGTCGGTGCACCGACCAGGTTAATGTTTCTTTCTTCTCGATCTCTTCAAAGAGGATGTCTTCTTGAGTGTAGTAGAAATTGGGAGCGTTTAACCGCGGCAAATCTTCGGTGAAAGGCGGATCATGCGGCTGGATTTTACCAAACAACTCGAATGGTCCGACGTAATGTTTGGCTCCTGTTTGTAGGCATATGTGGCATATATTGGGTGCGTTCGGGATCACGGAACGCAAAACATTGCGTAGCATAGAACCGTTGATATCGCAATTCTCAGCTTCGGATGATCGGTTGATCCAACTGACGTAGAAGATATGGGTGACATCGGTAAGTTGGGAGAGCTTCGATTCGGTTTCCATCGGGTCGGATATATCACACTGAATGTACTCGATTGGATGGTCGATGTTCCAGTTTGGTCTGGGCCGACGAGCCACCCCGTATACTTTCCATGGGCCGCCAGGTGTGTCGGATAACGGTAGGATCTCAGCCAAGCTATTACCGACTATGCCGGTGACTCCAATTACCAACCCAACGCTCTGGAAGCTTCTCGGTGCTTCATCTTCTTCAAATTTCTTCTGCAAAAATTAAAACAAAAAGAAAAAAAATCAAAAGCAATTTCTTAAAGGGGCTAAACATAAATCATCCGAGCCAAAATTAAAAGGGGAACCACCTTAGCAGCGCCGATAGCACCAGCCCACCACCAGCTCATTTTTATCTCTTCGAGATAATTGGATGGGAAACTAATAAAAAGGGCGACGTAAATGATTGATGCCTGATGGAACAGCGAACCAACAGTCTGCAACTGGTGTTTGGTTGATCAAAAGGGTTGTGGGATTTGAGATCTTGTGATTTGGAAATTATAACGTAAGTGACTAAATGGAATAAAGAAAACTACATTATGGTGATAAAAAGCGATGACGATGTTCTTTTAAAAAGATGAAAATACTGATCTCTTAATTTAATCATCAAAACAGAATTCAATTTTATCACGTAAGATTAAATATAGGGTAAAGTATATAAATGGTCACTAAACTTTTCATATTATTGCATTTAGGTCCCTCAACTTTTAAAACTTATAATACAGTCACCAAACATTTAGTTCGTTTGCAATATGATCCAACGTAATAGCTGTTTCACTACTGTTAGGGTAAATTATATAAATGGTCACTGAAATTTTCACGCATTTGCATTTAGGTCCCCCAACTTTTAAAACTTACAACACAGTCATCAATTACATTTTAAACCCCAAATTCCAAAATACTTCAATTATATTATAAACCTCAAATTTCAAAAATACTTTAGTTACATGTCCAACCCCAAATTCATAATTCATTCTCAAAATCTACCATGGCAAATTAAACTTGAAGCAACAACCCTGACCCCTCAAAATATAACCCTAAATGTTAAATTTCCCTACCAATTAACCCAACATAATCAACAACATTCAGTTCATTTTGGGTCCATAACAATAAGTGATTATGTTGGGTTTAGGATTTAAAAGTTAGATTTAACCAACTATAAGTGAACAATACTCAATTCGATTCGAAAAAAAATATTTTTCGACTTGAATTGATTCAAAAAATTTCATACAAATTGACTTTGAGCTGTAATTTCATAAATTCAACTTTAAAAAAAAGTTAACATAGAGTTGTAAAATACAACTCGAATATCTCAAAATTTTTAGTAATTAATAGATTAATTTTTAAGTTTGAGTCAAGTCCCATGACTCTGTATGATATATGTATATCACATATGGAAAAATATGAAGAAATATATGTATTATATATGGTTAAAAAACTATTTTAATTAGAATCAAATAATATTATAGTATTATAAATATTTATAATTAAATTTAAACAGAAACTCGAAAATTCAATTCAATTCGACTTGATTTAAATTTTATAAACTCAAATTGAAATTTTTTTGAGTAAACTATTTTATAAACTGAACTGAATTAGAATCAAATAATATTATAATATGATAAATATTTATAATTAACTTTAAACAAAAACTCGAAAATTCAATTCGACTTGATTTAAATTTTATAAACTCAAATCGAAAAAATTCCGAGTCAACTATTTTATAAACTGAATTGAGTATTTAAGTCCAACATAACCCTAAACCCAACATAACACTTATTATTCACTTATAGATGGTTAATTTTTTTCGAAACGGATATGTTTTGAAGGTTTAGGGTTGCTGCTTCGAGTTAAGTTTGTTATGATAGATTTTGAGAATAGAATATGAATTTGGGGTTGGGTATGTAATTGAAGTATTTTGGAATTTGAGGTTTTAATGTAATTGAAATATTTTGGATTTTGGGATTTAGAATGTAATTGATGACTGTGTTACAAGTTTTAAAAATTGGGGGACCTAAATGTAAGCGCATGAAAAGTTCATTGACCATTTATATAATTTACCCTAACAGTAGTGAAACGGCCGTTACGTTCGGGACTATATTGTAAATAAACTAAATGTTTCGTGATTGTATTGTAAGTTTTAAAAATTAGACGTCTTAAATGCAAACATTTGAAAAGTTCAGTGACTATTTATATACTTTAGCCTTAAATATATCATGCTAATCATATTTTTGAAATTTGTATTTTACAGCCCTATGAAGTTCTTCGGTTGAGAAATGTCAAAATAATATTAATTTATGTGAAAGACACATTTAGTTGATTATAAATATATTCTTTTTCTACATTTAGGTCAAAAGTAGTTGTGTCAGGATATATTTAAAATTTAATTAGAATTTATATATAGTTATTTATAAAAAGTGACAATAGTAAGATATAAATTTGACTTTATAAGTATAAATTTTTTAATCTTAATTATTCGTGTCAACACTCGTTAATTATAAATATTTAATTTGTAAGTAAAATAACGTTTTTAAAAGATTATATTATTATTTTAATTAAAGATTAATGTTAATTATAATTTTGTGTTTTAGTGTTCGATCAAAATAACTTTTAAACTACATAATGTTTTTAATCTACACGTTAATAAGAAAATAAATATATCTCATCACCGTTTTTATTCCAAAAAAAAGTCGTTTCTTTCTCTTTAATTTTAATTTTTAAATATTATTAATGATTTTAAAAATTTGACTTTTTCTACATTTTAAATTTTTTATATATAAAAATTTGATATAATATATATATAATTTTATTACTAATTTTATAAAATTTATATTTTTAATCCTTATAATTTGGTTCTTCTAGTACAAAATGAAAATTATAACTAAAACAAAGTCATCAACAACTACTGATTACTCTATACATATCAACAGCAATTAGTGAGAATTTTGACTCAAGAAATTATTCCGCACAACACACGCTTTCTCTTCTTTTCATTATTGTAGATTTCATTATATATCTCAAAATAATTTTCTACCATTCATATTTCTCTAGATTTACCACAAAGGTAATAAATAAATTATTCAAATAAATAAATAAAATAAAATAAATAAAATAATGATCTACCTCAATCATATTTTTACAGATAATTTTATATTTTATACATAGAATGCCTTCGTTATTAATGAACATATCGGTGTGTAGCTCCTAATCAATTTTACATCGGTGAATATACAGTTTATCAAGATGTTTTTAGTCTTTCGGTCTCTTAGGGTGGTTACTTCACTGTAAACACCTTCTAAAGCCCAGATACACAAATATATGAGAAATTGAATTTGCGCTACCACATGCAATCACAAATATAACCAAGAATTACAAGTTGGCAGGCATCGGCATCAGTTATCTAGATGTTGACAGTTAAGACAAAGCTTGGCATAAAAGAAAATAAGCTTACAAGAACCTAAGAATAAAATTGGATGAGTACTTCAAAACGTTAAGCTAAACCAACTAAATAACAATGGCTGGCTCTAAAACATCTAATCAAAACTACAGCCTTACCACAACCTGAAACTATTGACCCGATGAATTTCCCACCAAGGCTTTATCTAATCAGGAAGTTTTATTGTTTAATAAATCAAGCTTCTACAAGGTAAAAAAGACACAATGCATCATAAACAAGTAAAGAACAAAGAAAAACACACAGCATTTTCACAAATACAACAAAAGTTTCACTTTGAATGTAAACATTTCACAAATACTTCTAAATGGTCCATGCCTTTCCATAACAGCTTACCATCTCCTTACTTTAGACCAACATAAATTCGTCTTCATTGGAAAAACCCTGAAGTAAGTTGAAGCAGGAGATTAAATGATCAAGGCACAATCTTGTAAGCCTTCACCTTATCGATCCAAGTAACAAACGAATTCCTGGAATTCCTAAATCCCAAAAACCCATGCTCCTTACTCTTATTCATACTCATTAAAGGCAACTCCATACATAACATCAAATCCGCAAACCACCAATGCCCCACCTCCTGCAAACTCGTCTTCTGCAACTGGTTTTCCTTCACTATCTCTTCCCACACACTTTCCTTCCCTTTCATCATCTCCTGCAACCCCTGATTCTCTCCTTCCACGAAACCAAATTGTTCTATCCCGAATTGCTCAGCAAAAACCGTCCACAAATGTTTCCACTTAAAAACATCCCCGTTAGACACATTAAAGGCTTCGTTTTTGGCGTAAGGATCCACCGCCGCCCATATCTGTTGCTCCGCAATCAAATCCGCGTCCGATGCTTCAGAGTAACAGTTCCAAGCGGCTTTGCTTCCAGGAAACAGTAACGGTTTGCCTTCATGTTTGCAAATAGCGGCGTAAACGCAAAGAGTTCCAACGAGGTTCATTAAACTATAAGGCGAAACCCCGAATATGATAGTGGGACGGTGCACCGACCAGGTTAATGTTTCCTTTTTCTCGGTCTCTTCAAAGAGGATGTCTTCTTGAGTGTAGTAGAAATTGGGAGAGTTTAACCGCGGCAATTCTTCGGTGAAAGGCGGATCATGCGGCTGGATTTTTCCAAACAAATCGAATGGTCCGACGTAATGTTTGGCTCCTGTTTGTAGGCATATGTGGCGTAGATTGGGTGCGTTCGGGATCACGGATTGCAAAACATTGCGTAGCATGGAACCGTTGAATTCGCAATTCTCGGTTTCTGATGATCGGTTGCTCCAGCTAACGTAAAAGATATGGGTGACGTCGGTGAGTTGGGAGAGATTCGATTCGGTTTCCATCGGGTCGGATATGTCGCACTGAATGTATTCGATTGGATGGTCGGTGTTCCAGTTTGGTCTGGGCCGACGAGCCACCCCGTATACTTTCCATGGGCCGCCGGGTGTGTCGGATAACGGTAAGATCTCAGCCAAGCTGTTACCGACTATGCCGGTGACTCCAATTATCAAACCAACGCTCTGGAAGCTTCTCGGTGCTTCATCTTCTTCAAATTTCTTCTGCAAAAATTGAAACAAAAAAAAAGAAAAAAATCAAAAACAATTTCTTAAAGGGATTAAACATAAATCTACCGAGCCAAAATTAAAATGAGACTGGCCTTAGCGGCGCCAATAGCACCAGCCCACCACCAGCTCATTTTCTCTCTTCGAGATAATTGGATGGGAAATATAATAAAAAGGGAGAGGTAAATGATTGATGCCTGATGGAACAGCGAACCAACAGTTTGCCACTGGTATTCGGTTGATAAAAAAGATTGAGGGATTTATAACATAAGTAATTAGATTGAAGAAAGAAAACAACAGTTTAAAATACTCTGGACTGGATATTCAACGTGGGGGCATTTATGTCTCTTCCAAACCCTTCCAGCTCAGTTAACAAATATATTTAATCAATTGAGGAATATAAAATTTTAGAAGATTCTTTAAAGATTTAACATTTATAAT